TGTGTGTGTGTGTGTGTGTGTGTGTGTGTGTGTGTGTGTGTGTGTGTTCTAGCAGTAAATATAACAGTATTGGACCAATATAAGATTGGACGGGTTTTTGTGTGATAGGGCGTTTTCTTTTATTAATAATCTTTATTAAAGCAAATGACAAGTGTACAACAAACAAATGGCTGGAGTATACAGACGAACACAACACTTACATGAACAAACAACCAGGGGTGTGTTTTTTAAACAAATATTTGCAAAGATTGTGATGGGGCGGTTTTTAACAGACTTTTGGGCTGGAAAACCTCGACTCTATCTGGCAACACTGGTTGTTATTTCCCTTAGCCACCACCAGGGGGAGCTGCTTCCTCCGCAGCGTCCATTTCCATACCACAAAACGCAGCTGCCGCCAGAGCCTGTAACTAGACAAAATATATTAGAATAAACTAATTAATGACCATTTCAACAAAAACATACAAGTTTAGAGTTGTTAAGAGAATCTTCAAGAGGTACCTGAAAAAATGTTTGTTTTCTGTTAGCGTTTGTTAGCTAACTTTCTGATAGCATGTTAGCTTATTTCTGATAGCTATATATCTAGCTAGCTATCCAAAAATAATTAAAACATAATGGCTTTGCACAACAACTTAAAATAATATAGAACATAGCTGAAAACAAAAAATATAAACTTAGTATATGATGGAATCCTTTTATCTCCTGAGTGAGATGATTTTAAAATATTTATCCAAAAACTATAATCTTGTTTTTCCTTTGGCTCATTTTTTTCCCCATCTAATTATTTTCTTGGTTTTACAAGTTGTGTTTGACGTTTATGCTCCAATCCGTTGATTTACACAGGATAAAAATGAGTGATAATTGAGCTGATAAGCTGTACAATTGATATAGAAAACCAGTTTAATTACATTGTTGTTCTTGCAGGAGATTCGGCTGGAACCAGTTGAGGAAGAGGTGGTGGAGAGCAAATCGGTTTGTATATTGCCTCTGTCACATTCTGGTGTTAGACAAGAAGACCACATTAATAATATGCAGTCATTGTCATAATGGCACAGATGAAAGTTGCAAAGGGCATTCCACTCTGTACTAAGCTTATTTTTTTCTGTTCTGAGCTGAATATTCAGTTGTAGACTTTCAAAAAGAAATCTGATAATAAAATACAATGTTGCTGGAGGTGAAAGAGGCGGATCAGATGTTGCAGTATATCAGTCTGGTACCTTGGTGAATATTTAATGAATACAACAGGAACAGGAATAATGTTTATTTTAGCTTACATTTGAGGTAAATATACCAAGAACAAAAATACATCCTCCTGGCTTGTGGTGGAGGAAACTGTGAGTGTATTTTTAATGTTGCTCACAGCGTGCTGCTATGTGCGAACTATCAGTGTCCACATGCCAAACAACAAAAACACATTGCTGTCAGCAGTCAGGATTCATGTCACTCATTTCAGAGCTGAGAAATCCTCCTCTGTTAACTGTGAAAATCACATTAGTAACAATACTCACAGGAAAATTTCTCTTTCCAGCTTCTATTATAGCTGAACAAACAGGCTGACTAACATGTAGTGCTGCTACAATTTAATCCAACAAAAGGAATTTTAATAAGATATAATATGGTATTATTTGGAAAATGTTTTAAAAAGGAGTTATTATATTATTCTTGACTTCTAAATAATAAATATATGAAAAAAATGCAACAGTACTTCATTGTTTTTGAGACAAATCTATCTACAACTGAAAAGTATTTTTAAATTGAAATTGCTGTGTTTATTGAACATTATAATATTTTTTACATCGTGGTCACTGTGTAACAGACTGAATGGGAGCCAGCCAGGTGTTTCTGTATTCCCAGCACTGCTTGAACGCAGCGTACTTTCTAATCATGCGTCGAGTATTTATATCAGAGCTTCACATAAATAAACACTAGCAAGGCTTGTTGAAATACACACCTGAATCTGAAGTGATGGACCACATAATTCTTCTGGTTTTGGCTGAGAAAATATATTTATCAACATCTTTCTTCATAACAGCAACACAAAATGTATCGATGCAGATCTGTAACACTTTTTTTGTTGTACTCTGTTGTACACGACCACAGACTGTAACTTTAATTAAATTAAGGCCTTCAATATGCTAAACTTATTAATTAATTTGACCAACAAAATGATTTCAACAAGCCTTGCAGCATTAGAGTGGTTTAAATGTACTTGCTTGAATTGTAGCTTACTTTTCTCTATGTTAATATATACATATACACAGACTTATATTTATATTTAGACTGACAGTTTTTATATGTGGGATTAGTTCACATTTTCTTATAATTTCTCAACCCCCCTGCTCAGACAATTAAATTGAAGACATTTAGATAAAACACTGTAAAGGTTTTTTTTTTTTTTTTACCAAATTGCTCCAATATTGCATTGGGGACATTAGCATTAGCCTCAATTAGCTTGCTAATTCAGCTCAGGCCACAGAGCATTATGGAATATTTTCACCGGTGTAGTGTACAACTTCTGTACACAATAAAGTGAATGACACACAAGTAAAATTTCAAACAGCACCACAAAACAGCTTCCAGCAAACATATGTATTACAGCAGAATAAAACAAGCAAACTTAAATTTTATGTTACTTTTAATTTAAATATTTTAATTAGATGGGTGTTTTAACACATGAACAATAAAACTAATAGAAAATATACTTCCTAAATTATGGTATGTAGTGCAGCCGGTTGATGCTGATGTGTTCATTTGTTCACACATGAAATCAGATTGTATTTGACTTGAGAAATGATTACACTGTGCAGCAGAATCGTAGTAGAAGTCACCCCATGTTCCTGAAAATCTCATGTCACCGTCATGTCTCGTTACAAAACTGATGCAGACGTCAGTGTGAATTAATCAAAAAGTAATTGGTTTAGCGCCATGTGTCACTTGGGAGAAATTGGCCACTGAGAAAGTCGATAATGACCAGCAGCACAAGCCTGACGTGTGATTGTGTTTTAACGATCTGAGTTTGTCTCCCAGATTAGCCACAGAGTAGAAGACGGTTCTCAGGCTTTGGTTATAGCCACACACACACACACACACACACAGTGTGATACCCATCATTTCATCAGTTTGTATTAATCTCCAAGAGACTTTCTCATTAACACACAGTATACCTTGTAGCCAGCAGGCAGACCATCCACTTCCTGTTCTCATCTGCTGTTGTGCCCGTCACCAACTCCTCATCAGCTACAGTTAATCGTTCGCTTTCTGACTGTTGTCACAGTTACAGCAGTTGTTTTCTTTTTCTCCTGTTGTTTACACCTCTGCTGCTTTTTTAACACCTTTATGCAAGGAAGAAGGTCCAGATTCACCTGCATCAATTTTGAATGTTTTTGTCTTGCCAGAGTATTTCTGGACTCTTAACAAACCCAGCAGGCTCTCGTCTAAACCAGAAGCAAGTCCTGACTGTCTGAATGTGTGCTGTGTTGTGTGTATGTGCGTCTGTGTTGTGTTCACAGCACATCCTAATAGTGCAGCGGCAGCTTTCAGTGCTGGAGGAGGAGCTGGAGGAGTTTCGTTTGGCTCTCAGGCAGTACATGGACTGTGCCTGCACCCAGACTGGATGTCTACAGTCAGTTCACTTTCTCTTTTCACTTCTATCATTTAGGATTTTAGCTCATATTATTTTTTTTTGTTGTTATATATATATATATATATATATATATATAGTGGTGTAGTCGACATTTTTGTAGTGGGCATACTGTGGTTAGAAACCAAAATACACCAGCTTGTTCACTGCAATCGTCAATTGAATTTGATTTTTTAGCATTTTGTACATTTCAAAATTTTTCTGATGCTTATTTTGGAATAAAAGTACAACAAACTTTGCACAACAGTGGGCTTTGTATTAAAAACATGTTGCAAAATATATACAACAGTTTCAAAGCAGTACAGAAGTATTAATTATACAATAATGTGCTGGACAGGTGAATGTAATAAACAAGCACTGCATCCAGGTAGGTTAGATACAGATAGATTACGCAAGCGTTGAACTGCTGTTTTAACGTATCAATGACACGTGCCCAATGATTTGTCATGTGTCTTTGGGCACTTTTAAGTGGGTATACTGAAATTCTCAAGCTTTTCTAGTGGATATACTCTATATGCCCATGTATCACATAAACTACTCCACTGCAGTCTAGTGTAATTGAGTCACAAGGACTCATTTAAAAGTGGGACCTGTTCCAGACAGAACTTATGAAGTACAGACAACAATAACAGCAAAAAAATGTGCTACTCCCCGTCGGGGAATTGAACCCCGGTCTCCCGCGTGACAGGCGGGGATACTAACCACTATACTAACGAGGAAGTGCTGAATCTGACAAGCTTCCAGAGCGTCATAAAAACAGCCACTGAGTTGTCAGAGTTATTTATTGTCTTAGCAGCAGAGGGCAGTGACACGGTTCAAGCATGGCTCCCCAAACACACCCTGTCAAAATAAGAGTGTTCTTGTTCGGGCAAGAGTTCAAATTAAAATGCTCTAACACAAAGACTCAATGAGCAGTCTCGATGTGTGTCGTCGAATCATCTTCACTCAAGAGCCACTTTCTGTAATTTTTTTCTAAGTCGTCACAACTCGAGTCAACAAATAACTTGTGAAATGTTTATTTTATTATCTGTGATAAATGTCGGTCTTTGATAACATCAGCAACATTGTTCTCCATGTTTTCTGTAAATGTTGCAAAAGGCTTGTCATAGACTTTGATTATTTCTAAGGACTACTTTATGATTTCAGGAACCAAATGACTCAGACTGAAGAGTGTCCAGGAGTTAAGTAGCACCGTATTGTTAGGACTAATGAGAATATTTAAATCTCCTGTCACGACTTGAGCTGATTCAGACCACATCATTCTGTCAGGATGGGAGGACATCTTTATTTTCAACATTTAACTTGTCTTCATTCTGTTGTGCTGCCTGTGACTAAACACATCTTCAAGCTGTCACTTTGGTTTTTGATTTAATCTGCAGCCTGAAGGACACTTCAGCATTTATTCATCACGGTTGCTTCTCCAAAGTTATTCATTATGTTTACGCTTTTTTAAATAAACGCAGATGTTGCCTCTGACCAGACATTTGCAGAAATAATATTGTAGTCGCCGAATCACCTTTCCGGCACAGAACAGTTTTAGTTTACACACTAATTGCTTGACTTGTGCTCTCTCTCTCTTTTATTTTTGGCAGCATCGCAGTTCAGCGGCTGGCAAATGAATCCCACTTCATCCTCTATGAATTCTGGGAGCACAACAACGTGTGGAAGAAGTGAGTATCCGTTTGCCTCCCAACATGCGTTGTTGTTTATTCCCATTTCCTCTGAATTATTTTCTTTACTCTGCCTGTACTCGTTGAGGGAAAGTAACGCTGACACCTTTATGAGGCTGATAAGAAAAACTGAAGTAGCTCTGCAGCGAATCAGAACTAAATCCCAGAGGAAATGTGCCATAAACATTTATTTATTTTTACATAAACAAATCTATGTAGTTTTTACCTTGTTTGCTGGTGACAGCCGAAACTAGCTGTTCACAAGCAACAGGTGGACCATCAGCCTAACGACTGATTGTTCAAGCTTCAAACTTTACCTGTTTGTTAGCAAAATATCTCATGAACCACTGGATGGGTTTTATTGACACTTGCAGAAAGTATTTATCGTATGTATATTTACAACTGATTAACTTCTGGAGTCAACCCGATTCAAGATGGCTGCCACAGCTAACTGACATCAGCAAACACAACATTTGCTATAATGAGATCAGTCCTTCATATACTGCGCTAACATTTTATGTGCTAGCATTCGAGAGTCATTCACAACATATACTATGAGTAGGAGATCTAAATTAATTATTAAAAAATGTAATTTTCTAGGTTTTTTCCCCTTATTTATTTATTTATTAACCTTTATTTATCCAGGCAAATCACATTGAGATCACAGATCTCTTTTGTAAGGGAGGCCTTGATTCTAGATTCTGTCTCTCACAGCTGCAGTGCACCTCTCTCTATGCAAATGTGCTGTAAATGTAAATTTGATATGTTGCTAGGCAGAAAATGTGCCATTTTTTTAATGTCAGTAACATAAATATCGATTGTTTAATTGGAGTGTTTCTTAAAGTTTAAAAATAAACAAACCTGCACTTTGAACAGAACATAAAACTTCAGTTTTTGATATGTTATTTATTGAACTGGGGGTGTGTTGTCATTCCAACACACACTCATTCATACAGAGGCCATCCATGCATTCGTTCATCTCAGGTTTGTTGAATCACTTTTCGTCTGGACCCTCATCCAGAAGTCTTTGATCTGCCGGAAGCAAAACTGCCTCTGACGTCAAAGGTTTCTGACATCACTGGGACACGCAAACACCTCTACCACGATAAGGTAGTGATTCACAGAGGTGATTTAATTTTTTTTTTTTTTTTTTGTAATTTTTTTTAATGTTTTTTTTTTTTTTTTTTATTTTTTGGTAGTAATTTTTTTTTTTTTTGTAATTTTTTAAATTTTTATTATTTTTTTGTAATTTTTTGTTTTTTTTTTGTTTTTTGGGGGGGTAGGGGTGGGGGTATTTTTTTTGTTGTTGGTATTTTTATTTTTTGGGTGTTTTGTTCATTTGCTCCTTGTAACAAAGTGTTTTAAGTTCGCCTCCTTGGAAGTTTATTTCTTTTTTTTCCGAGCGTGGGTCTTCTTGAAACCCAGAAAATTTTGTGTTTTCTTCCAAAACGATCGAGGCTTTTTGGTCTTCTCACAGATGTGCCCAGATGCGTCAGCCGTCGGCACAGGATCAGGACTTGAAGATGTTTCTGGGACAAGGTCGTTATCCGACTCATCTCTCATCAGATAATCTGGGGTTAAGAGGATTTCTGGAATAAAAACCATCTCCTGCTCTGATTCTTCAGCCTGGGAGACTTCTTTTTGTACCACTAATTCCTCTCCGCCCTTCAGCGGCTCAGAGAGCCGATTGCTGATCAACTTCTGCTTTTTGAGTTGAAATGTCACTTCTTCCAACTCTGCGCTGAAGCGTTTCTCATTCCTGGCGTTGCTGTTTTGCGGAGCGGAGATCTCTTCAACCATTTTCTGCCGAAGAGCCTTGTTCTCAGCTTTTAGGACGACAATTTGCTCTTGGTGCTTTGCGTCACTTTCCAGGTGAGCTTGGACCTCTTTGTTCAACTCATTCAAGATGGATTCATATTTCCATTTTAAGGTAATCGAATCCAGTCCTTGGTCATTTTCGAGTTGACACAATGACATTTTCGTGCTGTCCAGTTCATTTCTAAGTTCTGATTCTCGTTCCTGATATGCTTTTCTGAGAACTTCATAATCGTTTTGCAGGTTCCCTACGTCCGTCGGGTTCTGCTGGAGCTCCGCGGCTTGTAAAGATGGAGTCTGTTGACGCAGAAAGACAATCTCATTTTGATATATTCTGCTCTGCTCTTCGACTTCCATCAGCCGATTTTGGAGTTCCATATTACGATTTTTTTCCGTTTGAAGTTCATACGAAAACTTTTCCACGCTGGTGACGTGAGCGACTTTCAGTTCTTCGTAGTCCTCCTGTAGAAGTTTTTTCTTCCTTCGTTTTATGGAGCTTTGCACTTGAGACGCAATCTTGGCTGTGCTGAGGGTTTCAGCATCTGTGTATTTTTGCAATCTCTCATATGCTCGTTTGATTTCTTTGTTTTTCTTAATGAAAATCTCCTTCAGTGATTTCTGTTTTTCGAGCTGGACTTTCATATTCTCCAGTTCGTGCCACAGATGGCTTGCTTGGTGACTTTCCTCGAGCACTTTAGCCCTTTCTTGGTTGAGAAGGGCTTTCAGGTCGCGGATTTCCTGTAAGAGCATATTCTGCTCCATGGAAACTCCTTGCTTCCTTCCTCGTCTGTTCTTCTGATAAGGAGGTCTTCGTGTGGCCATTTTCCCAAATAATAATCGCAGTTAGAGCAATAAGCTTCGTAACTATGGTCTGTCTCAACTGAGAGTTCAGAATGATCTGAGAGACGAGTGGGGGTTATATTTATGCATTTCAATAGTGGCTTTTGGTGATGTCATGGCATGTCTTTATTATGTCATCGTATGTATGATGTCATTGCCCTTTGATGTTTTATCCCTTGAGGTTTGTTCCTTCAATTCTGCTTTTTGTTTACTTTTAAAATTACATTCTGTAATTTAAATATAAACGCAAATAAAGAAACGAGAAAACCGAGAATAAATGAATGAACGTTTGTCACTTTCTGTCTGTTCAACAGGATTTTGGAAAGTTTATTGGTAATATCCTAAGCTATGGCAAAAGCAAGGCTTTTATTTTGAAAAGCTAAGTGCTTTATTTTGAAGAAAAAACAAAACGAAAACCTTATTCTGTTTGCAGGTTCAAGTTTTAAATTCCCCTGAGGCTTTTATTAAATTGTGTTACAAACAAGATTCACACGGGCTGCCATCTTGGAATAATAAAAAGCCAGAAGAACCAGATCCAGGGACAAGGAATCGGCTGAGTCACTGGTTGCCATGGTGATCCTAGACTTTTTCTGGGGAGAGAGGGAGCGCACAGCTCTGCAGACTGGCAGACAGAATGTCAAAGTAGAAATTGAGATTGAGCCTTAAACAGTCACAGTCTGAAAGCTATGTCAGATAAAAAACTTGAGTGACGAGTGGCAAAACCTTCTGGCGGCCATATTTGTAGTTTTTTTTTATCTACAGTGCATTTTGTAGGAGAAATTTCAGGTTTAAAAGGCTGATCACATTTTCTCTTTAAAAATCTGCTCATTGCAAAGTTGATTAAATCATGTTGTCATTGGGGGCTTCAGGTGTGTGTGTGTTAGCCGAACATCTTATGTACCAGTGGACACATTAATAAAACTCTCAGAAAGTCATCAATAGATGTCCATCTACAAATGATTAACCTTTGGGGTCAGCCATATTCCCTGTGATGGACTGGGACCTGTCCAGGGTGTACCCCGCCCCTCGCACAGTGATTGCCGGACATGGGCACCAGCGACCCCCGTGACCCAAAATGGAAGAAGCGGGTAAAAGATAATGGATGGATGGTCAGCCATATTCAAGATGGACACCAGAGCTCATCACCCCAAGCACACATAAAATGGCGATAACTTTATGAGTTTTAAAGATACCGGGCTCAAATTTGGTGTGGTAGTAGTTGAGAGTCATACAAAACATATAGTCTGAGCACTAAGAGCTTGCGCAGGATCTTGGTTTAAATTCTGGGCATGCAAGACGTCAGGCAGTAATCGTTCCATCAAGGAAAAGTGTTTTAAATGTTGTTTTAGTTTTTATGTTAGAACACCTGTGGAATTGTTTCTGTGTGTCTCTTTGGATACGAGCGGCAGCATCAAGTCCCGTCTGGTTTAGTGTTCAAAGAAAGATTTTGAATTTGTTAAAAAAAAAAAGTTTGTTTTTTGAGAGATCATGTCCTCTGGTTATGTGTATGGAAGATGAACTTTTTTGTTTTTGTATAACAACTGATGTGTTGCTGATTGTTGTTAATGTTTATATGATGTATGCATGTAAGCAGTTCCACAGTGACTAGTGAAAAGATGGTTATGTGAAGAAAGTTATAATCTGTGAAGAAATGGCTGAAGTCACTTGTGACAGAAGAGCCGATATTGTTGCAGATCTACTGGAGGGAGTGACCAACACAAAATATTAAACTTAATTTGCTGTAGTTTACAGAAAATACACAAAACACAAACATTTGCAGCAGCCTGCTCAGCATTTGTGTTGGATCAAAGTTGTGTTAAAACAAATGGTAGGACAGCAACATTTTAATAGACGTGATTTATTCATAGGGAAAAGTTTCATTTCCTTACACCTTTTTTATTTAGTTAGTTTTTATTAAGTACCAGTTGACCCATTTCAATAATTTCAAGGAAAATACGTTTGGATCTTTTGCATCACGGCAAGAACTGTTTTTAAGTTTTTGGCTGTGCAGGCCTTTCTGTGCGGAGTTTGTGTGTTCTTTGTTTCATTCTTGTCGGTGGCGGTTTCTGAAATGGGCGATAATGGCAGCATTCCAGAGTGGCATCTCGTCAAGAGCGGCACGAGCGCCTGCCCCCTCAAAAATATAAAAACACATTATTTCATATAGCCTGTCTAGCCAACATATCGGGTTTCCTATCGCCCACTTGCGGGGAGTGGTGGGTGCCCTCCACCAGGTGCAGGGTGCAGCTTCTGTTGAGGTCTGACACACAGGTTGTGAAGGAAGGGGAGGGGGATTCTGTCGTCTCCCTTTCTGGACCAGGCATGTGTAATAGCACACCTGACATGATGCAACCTGTCAATCAACCCAGTAGATTTGTCAAACAGGAAGTACCACCATGTACATAAGTAACTAACTGCAAGTAAATCCTTCATTCGTTGTCATAATTACTTTGAATGCTTAAATTAAAGGTTAATGCTTAAATCAAGTAGTGCTTTATTTTGTGTGTTTTGTATGTAGATATATGTTGTATCTTGCACAAGTTTAGTATTGGTTTGCTAGGATCAGTAAAAACTAAACCGATATTGCACAAAGTGTTTAATAGGTTGTATCATGTAAAGTTTACTCTTACATACTGAATTTCACAGTAAATTATTGCCCTGTGTCGCTATGTGGCGTGAAAACATCTTCTGCAGTATCTATTTTAAGTTAGTATGTTTGACATTTTTGTCTTCTTTGCCTTAATGTTGAATGATGAGACTAACCTGTATAAATAAAGGTTTAATGAATTAAAGCAAAAATGCCTCAGGTGATGCTGTGAGCATCACTACCTCTGCCATTACAGCTGTGTTGTTTATTGGAGGTTAGCTCACCCTGGGTGACATTTAATACTATTTTTTTTTTCTCTCCGTCCATCTTGTGAGCTTGATAACTTAATGTGTTCAACATAATGGTATTTCCTCAAGTTATTTAACAATCAACAATGGTGTACCACAAGGCTCAGTTTTAGGACACCCCCTTTTTACAATCAACATAGGTAATGTAGGTCAGAGCATCCTTGATGCATCCATACATTTCTTTGCTGATGACACAGTTGTTTATTGTTGAGCTAAAACACTTGATAAGGCTTTCCAGCTTTTGCAATTCGCCTTTGACATCATTCAGTCAGACTTGCTCCATCTCAAACTTGATCTAAATGCTGATAAAACCAAAGGGATGCTTTTTTCAAACAGGAAGTCAGTCCCAGCAGTTCTTCCTCTGATTTTATCCTCAAATGGTGTCCCTATTGAGTTTGTCGATTCCTATAAATATTTGGGTATCTTGGTCGACTTGCATCTCTCTTAAGCTTCACGTCTAAAACCTAGTAAAGAAACTGAAAGTTAAACTGGGTTTCTTTTTCAGAAACAGATCCTGTCTAACTCTGAATGCTAGGAAACGCCTTGTAACTGACTTTCCTTCCCTCCATTGACTACGGTGACATTATTTACATGAACGCCCCTACAAGCACTTTGCAGATGTTGGATGCTGTCTATCATGGTGCACTAATATTCATAACTGGTTGTAACTACCATACCCACCACTGCACCCTGTATTCACTGGTTAACTGGACATCATTAACTTCACACAGACTCTCTCACTGGTACATTGTCATCTTTAAATCACTTCTTGGTCTGCTGCCTTCATACATCTCCTCCTACATGTCTCTGCGTGAGTGCAGCTACAGCGTGCGCTCTCAGGACATTATTACCTGCAGTGTTCCCTCAGTGAGAACTGAACTAGGCAAAAGGGCCTTCTCCTACTCCGCTCTTGGAATATCTTGTTAAAAGATCTGAAGTTTTCGACCTTAACCTTTCTAAGTGGTTTTAACCTTCTGTTAAATTCCTGGCATGAACCATTGCAGACATGTTCCTGTTTTTAGTTTTCTACACCACCTTATAATCTCTTTGTTATCCACTGGCACTGTCGTCATCACGCTTTGTTAAAGAAATCAGGTCTCTCATGTAAATGAGTCCCCAAGGCTCAATGGGATTAAACTGTCTAAATAAAGGTTGAATGAATGAAAAAACGTAAAAGAAAGTTAGTGAGATATTGACTTCTGTTTTGGTATCAGTCACTCTGCAAGCCTGGAACAAGCAAAAGATACCACCTCTCTTTTTGTAGAGTGTAACTTCTAATCTTGCAACAACAACATTAAGGTTTTCTTTCATTCTTTGTTCAGTTCTAGTCCAGAAAAAACATCTAATCTCAAGAACTAGAAACTATTCAAATCCCTTATCGATGAGGGACATGCTCATCATTTTTGTGTCTGTGTTTTAGTCACCTACAGACTAACTACAGTAAAACCTTCCAGAGGGGAAACGTGGACTTCCTGGAAACCCCTGAGACTGTTACCACCATGCTTGTTCCTGGTAAGATCGCCCACTTCTCTGATCCACACTGAATCCTTCAAGAGCATATCCCATATATATCGCTGGTTTCAAACTTTCATTGGTCTTTAGTGATTTAATCAGGAATTCCTGCCATTTATTTAAAAAGAGGAATGATACCAAGCATTATATAAAGGGATTTCCCAATGCCACAGCAGCCAGCAGAGAAAAAGGATTAATTTAAAAGGAAATTATAAGAGCCTAAAGACAAAGGATTATTTCTGACAACTTGATTTTTAGAAAACTTCCAGTTACTGGGGTCACAAGATGGCATCTTCATGGATTTACTTTTACACACATCTCAACTACAGCAACTCATTTCCCCCTTCATTCTGTTTCTTCATCTCTGCAGCCTCGTGGTGGGTCCTCAACAACAACTGAAGCAGCGTCTGTCGTCGTTCATCTCCGAGTGTGGAGAGCAAACCTGTCAACACATCAGAAAGCCCCTCACACACACACACACTGAACACTTGTGAAGTCATGGTGATTAGTATTTATGAACTCCATGTTCCTTCATAGTTTGATAGTAGCTAAAATAGCTCAAGTGTCTTAGAAAAATCACTTTTTATCCTCGAATGACCTCATCAGTGATTCACCTGCTGGACTGACATCTTCACCGTGTTTACCGTGACGTGTGCGGTCCAGAAGAACCCATTAGTGACAAAATGTTTGTGTACTTAGAGCTGTCCGTGTGAGGACATTGGACATTTCATCTTTAGGTCGTGTGCTGATCAAATGTCCTCACGAAGACAGAACTGTGTGAAACAGAACGGAGGCTCTGAGGAAGATATAACTGTAGCAGCTCCTGGGAGTTCATGAAACCAGATTTATGTGTCAAACTGAGACAAAGTCCTTAATAAAGACATTATTGTGTATGCTGTGTACATTTCATTCTTGCTCATCAAACTCAAACATGTTCTTCATTCAGTTTATGTAAATATGGATTTGGAAGCTTCATAAATCCAAAACTAAATTTTCCTGATGATTAAAATGAAGTAAAATTTAATGACCTAATTGTAGCTGAAGGCACATTATGGTTGAAATGACACGTTTATTTTATTTTGTATTTTTAGCCAACTGCACCACCGTGTGGAAACTGCAGCTTTATTCTGTCTACTTAGTTTTTCTCAATTGCTTACACACATTTTCAGAAAGCACACCTCAATGTTAGACCTCTACACACTAGTCAAAAAAACACACACACAATGGGCAACATCCTTCAATTCTCATTCAGAATGAAACTTTACATTCAAAACAATGTTATCTCTTCTCAAAATGGTATTTTGTTCTCAGATGACACACAAACCACCTTATGAATAGACATTTATAAGAACAAGTTAAACACTGATGTGTAAAACACTTCTATCCAGTCATCATAATGACAGGCCCTTTTTTTGTTCAGTGTTTCACTTACTACAGATAGTACATACATCAGTGTACAGAAATTTTATTAGCATAAATTGCAAATGAAAGTATTTTAACTCTAGACCAATGTTTCTATCAATCTAGTTTTTCTAATAAAAATACAAAAATAAAAAAAAAACCTAAACGTGATGTGCATTTGATATACCTGAACATACGGTTCACGCCCCGGCCCCGACAACATCAAAAAAGTGTGGGTGGGGTAGGTAAAACACCCACACTTGCCCCCACCCTGGGCCCATGAGCAAGGCCCTTAACCCCCACCATGTGCTCCCTAAACAGGTCTCTCTTGAAAATGAGTTCTCGTGGCTCAATGAGACTAACTGTATAAATAAAGGGTAAATGAAAAAAAATAATAATAATTTAAAGTTTCCCCCTCCGTTCAACTTTGTTATTTATTGCTATCCACTTAAATTTTATATTGAGAAAAAAAACTGCATCACACCAAACTTCATTCAGTTTATCTCCTGGTTACAGACAACAAAAAGACTCGTACAAAGAGTTTTGACATTTTATTGATAAATTATCGTTTTTAAAAACACCCACCACGATGAACCATCTTTCCTTTCACCAAGTACTGAATTTAAGCTATGTACAAAGGAGTTTTAGTGTTAAGTTTTATTCTGCTTCGTCCTCATGATCACATTCAGAACAAGGTTCAAACTGGGCCAACTGGTCACGATGAAGACGTGGGATGTTGGAGAGCGGCCATACAAGCTCATGGAGGAAGAGGAGGAGGAAGGTTTACATTCAAACTCAAGATGGAGACGCAACAACCACCTCTGAAACGGAGCTAAACGCCACGTCTGCGACCAGAGTAAGTCAACGCGCAGCCGGTTTGAGATTACAGGAAAAGAACTTGAAAGGGTTGTTGCTGCAGGCGTGCACGCAAAACAAACGTTTTAACAAAAAGTTTGTTGATCTAAAGCTCCTCCTCAATAACAACGGGCAGCAAAATTGGCACGCATGGGTATATAAGGACAATCTTTAAAAAAATGATCTTTTAAGCACTAAAATTGTAAAGTAATACTATGAGTAAACAGGCAAGAAATGCAGGTACAATACTGTATGAGTGTGCAGGAGTTCAACTAGCAGCAAAACAACTCTCAGGATTGCATAACATTGTAGTGCAGCGGGCAAAACGGTCGTCTCGTTTTGATCTGCTCAGTAACAAAAAAAAGTGGGTGCGTGCCATAGTGTCAGTGTTAGTAGTTCAGACAGTTTTCAACTCGTTTTGTCAATCATCACCAAAAAAATAATAAAATTTAGGTTCCTAATTCTTGATTATTTTAAATGAAATTGAAAAAACCTAGCTGGGACTTTGTCGGTGCACCAGGCTGAACAACAGGCAGTGGATTTGCTCAGCAACTCAAACCGTCAACGATTCTTCAAACCAAAACGCCGTCCGGATCCTCCGCGCCTCGCCGAACTTCACGGGTTTAGAAAAAAAATGACGCAGCAGCTGAAAGCTGAGGTTGTGGGTTCCAGCCAGGCAACATCTCTGCAGGGTCACGACTCTAGGCGAAGCTGTTCTCCGGGTAGCTGACTTTGATGGCTCCCCAGTAGCAGGCCCGTATCAGGCAGATGAGGCCCAGCAGGTAGGCGAACGCCCAGGACACGTACGTGGCGTTGTAACGTCTCGCAAAGTCCCGAGTACCAACCTGTTTTGACACAGAAGAAGAGAGCGGTTGTATCACCACACTCTGAGAACACTGGAACATGTGGGAAAGCAGAACAATGACTTTTATTTCCTTAAAACTGCCATAACCAGCATTCCATAAACCAGGGGTGTCCACACGTTTTCAGCATGTGAGCTATTTTTAAAACGACTGAGTCAAAGTGATCTACCTACTATAAGGCCCCGTTTACACAACAACCACCGCTGGAAACGTTGTGTTTTTTCAATGTTTATTGGGGGTAAAAAACAAAAAAAAATGAGCGGGTTTATACAAAAATGCTGTAGTTTCCATATCAGTTGGGTTGCCAGATAAGAAATTATGAACTACAATACAGTTGCTTTAAAATGACAGTATTTTGATCTAAACTGTCATTTGTGCTGAGTAAAGATATCCTAAGATGAGGTGTGTTTGTTGAACATGTGAACAGAAAAGGAGGGGGTAAATAAGACATTTTAAACTTATCTGGCAACCCTGATCAGCTGCATTAATCGTGCATGCAGCATCTACATGATAGTTAAGTCCAAACTGATGAACACACTAACGTCTCTCTGGACCCTGGATTTGATTAGTTTTGCTCCTACAGGCTGAAAAAGGTTGAGTAGCACAAAAACACTCCGCTCTCTGCCAGCTATTATAACTGTTGTTAGTGCAGAAAAACTTTGGACTGCAGCCGCCTGAAGTGCGCATGTGGGACTTCACACTTGAGCATTTCACATCATGGTGGGGGGGGTTCCCCCATAAATCTCCACTCTCCTGGATTCAGAACCTTTGGTGAGAGAATGAGGGCTGTCATCGTGTAAATGAACGGCTGAAAAGCTGCGGTTCACGTCGTGTAAACGGGGCCTCAGACTGGCTGCACGGATGATAGGCTGCGATATACCCATATCGACCGGTACCGGGCACCCCTGCCCTAAAGGAATGCATTTGCCCCCCACCTTGCATGCTCAAGTAATAAATACAGGTCTCACATGCTCAATCAGCACTAAGTAACAGAGATCGTTCTTAGCTACTACCACACTAAAGTTTAGCTCAGTATCAGTAAAACTCACTGTGTTATTGGCATTTTAAGCCATTTATCGTGCTGCAGCAGCCATCTTGAAAGGAGCTGAAGCGAAAAGTTAATCAGTTGTAGATGTGCATCCAAAAGAGGGGGGCTGTTTTTGTAAATTCCTTTGTAGCTTTAACTTTTAAAACGTCAGTTTACTTTAATGAGAAACGAGGGGGGAAATGTCGTTACTGTGAGCCAAACAGGTCCTACTAACCGTTAGGCCGACTCCAATGAAGATGCAGATCATTCCTATGGTTATATAAGCACAACAGCGCCTCCTGGGAAGAGCACTGCCAACAGAAGATCTGCGAGGAAACAGGACAGTATAAAGAATTTGAAAATATAACCTGAGGATAGAAAAAAAGGTTTAAAATAACATTTTAGAGGCTATCTTTCCCTCTTGGGTGTTTTGTTTAATTTGGTTGTTAATTCCTGGTGATTTCTCTTCACAGTCCTCTGACAATCTTGTGAGTAAAAAAAAAAAAAGTAACTTTTCCAAGTTAAGCTTGAAGGCAGTCACATGTGCAGCCCCAAATAATCCCAATCCAGACTCGCACACAAACACGCAGAGCCTGCAAGCTGCAGACTGGCATCTTTTCTAGCTTCATCGTAACGTTACTTTCCTCCCCCTGTGAGCTCTCACATGCCTCTCATGTGACGAGACTCGAGCATTTTTCATGGATCGCTGGACTTCAGATGGCTTGGGGGGGGGGGGGGGGGGGCTGACCACCTGATATTTGTCCTTCTTTTTCTTTTCGTACACTTTCACATGTTTAACCCACGTTGTTAATTTCACCCGCGTGCATGAAAGATGTTCCATCACTGTTTTGTGAAAACAGCATATTAGAAATGTTGGGACTGAGAAGTTTAAAATTATATGCGTTATATGTTCAAAACAAGAAACTTTCCCTTCTTCTCAAAATCTTTTTATTATCTGGACAACCAGCTGCTGAGTTTCCTGCAGAAAGAGGTTTGGTGTAGATTTGTAGCGAGGACTGCCCTGAAAGAAAAGACAGCGTCTGGTGCAGAGCTCTACATCGTGTCCATTTTTATTGGAGTCCTGCCTGAAGCTTTAGACTTTTATCTTTGAAAACGCAGATTCTTTGTTGAGTTACGCAGAGATGCTCTCAGAATAGTTTCCAGCGTCACAGTCCTATAAACGTAGCTCCTGTCCACATCAACACTCAAATATTTAAACTTCCTCAACTGAACCCCGTGTTCAACCAGACCTCACTAACGTGACGCCAGCCTTCCAGTCACATGTCTGGATTAGCCCCCCCCCCCCCCGAGCGCGCCGCTAACCCAGACCTCTCAGAGCTCCGCTTCAGAAAAACACAGTTCCACAGAAACATGAAGCTCAAAGTATTTACAGCCAACTAATTTTCAATTCAGTTCAATTCAGTTTATTTATAAAGCGTCGTCACAACAGAAGTCGTCTCAGGACACTGAACAAAAACATTCATATATAAAAATAATAATTTAACATTATTTATCTGAGGAGCAGACTGCTTTGAGTTTAACTCCATCGCAGAACTCTCATCTTGAGCAAGCATGAAGGCGACAGTGGAAAGGAAAAACTCCCTCATGAGGAAGAAACCTTTAGCAGAACCAGACTCAGGACAAGAGGCCATCTGCTTCAACTGGCTGAGTTCGAGAGGAACAGATACACAATGGCAGATCGAGAATCACATGTTAAGATAGAAATAGTATCAAACTATTCAATTTTGACAATTCATTTAACGAAATGAGGTCATTTGTCCTCCAGTAGTCTAAACCTATAGCGGCATAACAAGCCAACCCTAACTATAGGATTTATGAAAAAGTCTTAAGTCCAGTCTTACAACTGGACAATGTGTCAGTCTCATGGACAGAAACTGGGAGTTGGTTCCACAAGAAATGAGCCTGATAACTGAAAGATCTTCCTCCCATTCTGCTTTTGGAAACTCTAGGAACCACGAGTAAGCCTGCAGGCTGAGAGCAAAGTGCTCTATTAGGAAAATATGGAAGAACAAGATCTCTAATATAAGATGGAGCTAGGTTGTTGAGGGCTTTGTAGGTTAGAAGTAGGATTTTGAATTAAATTCTGGACTTGACAGGGAGCCAGTGGAGAGAAGCTAAAACTGGAGAGATATAATCTCTCCTACTAACTCCAGTTAAGACTCTGGGAGCAGCATTTTGGATTAACTGAAGACTTTTTAAAGTATTTGGACCCCCAGACAACAAACCATTGCAATAGTCCAGCCCAGATGTGACAAATGCATGAACCAGTTTTTTCTACTGAAAACAAGTTTGATCCAAACACCTCAAGATCTGATGCCAGCAGAAGGACCAAAAATTTAACATCTCTTCTTCCAGCAAGCTTATTTTCTACAGTCAAGAAATTACAATAAAATTTGAAAAAAATACCCTCAAACATAGTTTTATTTTATGTTTCTAGTTTCTTCAGAAGCTAAAAAAAATATGTTTTTGTGCCCCATGTTGGGATTTTAACAAATCTATTTGTTAATTTTTCAGAGAGAATCGTCGGTCAAACTGGGCTAATGGCTAGCCAAACGAGGGAGCGTTTTTTTAGTCGTTTTGCCAAGTTTATAAAACAACTCTTTTTCAAATACCTCAAGAATTCTACATTAGCTAAAATTAAACTTGCACTTTTGTGCGACACCATTGGTTTAGTTTGTCGTGGTTTTCTCAAATGAACGACATCAGTGTTGCTACGCAGATGTACGTTTGGCAAGCCATTAGCCTAGCCTGGACAAACACCTTCGCCCTTTTCTTCAACTCTGTGTCCATTGACTGATACTAACTATTGACAACTATTTGACAGAACACTTCATAAATGACCAGACCGCCCCCTTAAACAGCATTATGAGCTTCAACAGCTTTGAAAGCTCAGCGTCTTACTGCTGACAAAACCGTCTCTTTTTTAAAAACAAAGGCGCTGAAACTCGTTTCCTTGAATACTTACGACAGAATGGACCTAATAAAAGTCATGGAAAAGGTTCTTGAGAACAATTTAGGCAAACTCCCAAGAGTTTTCTCAGAAACAGATTATTTCCATAGTGTTAAATTTCGAAGACGGTGACTGTTCCAGCGCATTACGACAAAATTACAAACCTGAAAACTGAACTGAAAGCAAAACGTTAAGCGACCGTTCAGTCAACTCACATTTTTTTGCAGTGGGGACACTTGGCTAGTGTGTTAAATCGAAGCTCCATCCACTATGAGGAAACAAAAGACAATTATTTTTAATATACTTTCCGACATCTTTAATGAACACGCACATGTACGCAGGCGAAGGCTCTACAACGCCGCTGTATTCTAACAAGAATCAACACAACGCTCACCGAGACGGATTTTAAATGATCCACGTTGATGGTTTTCAACAAGAATATCCTACGTATCACTGCTAAACGAGCGATTTAAGTCATTATATAGCAATATTTATTAGCTGTGGTTTCATGAGGGGTTTAAAGAGAACATGGACTAATACTCTTCAGAGAAAGAAGTAAGATTTAATATTTTCATCATCAGTACGTCCACTATCATCAGATTGCTCAACCCCTGAGGGAGAGCCGTCCTAGGCATTAACGTCAGCACACTGAATATACAAATAGTTGTTTTACATAAAAAAGGGATCAATCTGCAAACAAAGAATTGAGTAGATGCTAACTGGAGATGCAAAGAAAACAAAAAACATGCAGATTAACTCTTTTTTTTAAACTAATACAGAATAATTAACAGCTGAAATGTTTAAATGTTGCAACACAGAAGTAAAAAGGGGTATAACATTCAGAAGTCTGCAGTGGAAAGGCTTTTTGTTTTACGTACCAGGAAGGTATTACCGCAGTGACCACACACCACTCTCATCCCCTCAGGTTGGATGGGCAGCGCCGGCTGGGCGGGTTGCTCCTCTGGGATCACCATGACCGGGCTCAGGTTGATGATGCGTCTGCTGTCGAAGGAACAAAGAGAAGTTTGTGGTTCCAGCGAGGCCGAGTCAGAAAGGCGATGCAAGTCTGAACAACTTCAGCTAAAATATAAACATTAAGTAAATGTAGAGTAACCAACCAGTTTGGTCGAGGACATCCTATCCTCCTGGATGTGTCCTTACAGATGAGCAGGCAGTTACAGGGACACCTCACATACTTTTTCCCTGTGGGGGGGTTCTTTATGGGCTGGGAGATAAACAGATCAAACATCAGCCGAGGAAATGAAAACAAAACTGCAGCTCAACCCTGTTCAGAGACGACGCCTGAAATGATCCCAAACTCATTAAAACAAACAATCTCTCGTATCTGATGCATAATATTTAATTTTTTTAATTCCAGCCTTATGGATTCATGACTTTTTGGTACATTTCCTGAGGTACAAATGGTCCCTTTTCTCTTTTTTGAGCTCAGAGTCAAATTCAGAGAGGCTTTATTGTCATTTCAGCTACGTACAAGTACATATTGAAATGAAACCGTGTTCCCCGGGATCACGGTGCAACATAACGTGCAAAACAAGACAACACACAGTGCAGATACGCAACAGAACAATAAATAAAAAAAGACATATAATAAACGCAAAAAGATGTTGCTTTTAGTTAGCTTTAAGTTTTTAGCTGACATTTTACTGCTTTTAGCTAACCTTTAATTGCTTTTAGCTAGAATTTTGCTGCTTTTAGCTGGCATTGTGTTGCTTTTAGTTAT